ACTATAGTTATGGTTGGCTTGTTACACTGCTATAAACTAGACTACTAGATGCCAAATTGACCTCAGTTTCTTAAATGATTTGCTAAAATTGAATTATTTTCATTTGATACCATTTCTATCTTAACGTGATTCTTGACCTGCCATTGTGTATCTATTCATCCTTCCTGACCCTCTCAAACCCAGCCGGTCGAAGCAGATGGTCACTTGTCCTGAGTATGGTTCTGCTAAAGGTTTCTTCCTCATGAGAGAGTTTTTCTTTCCACTGTCGCCTTCATGCTTGCTCAAGATGAGAGTTCTGCGATGGAGTTAAATTCAAAACAATCTGCTCCTCAGATAGTGTTAAATTATTATTTTTATATACGAATGTTTCTGTTCAGTGCCCTGAGACGACTTCTATTGTGTCTTGGCGCTTTATAAATAAAATGAACAGAATGCTTTCAGCTTCTTCAGCAGCGTTCAGCAAAAATCACTCAGCATCAATCATTCACACTGCATGTTCACAGGAACTTTTCTCTTGTCTTTGTGAACATCTACAAAGAAATAATCTGTTTGAAGAGTTTCAGTCAGGGGTTAGAGCTCATCATAGCACTAGTAAAAGTAACTAATGATATTCTCATGGCCTCAGACAATGGACATGTGTCTATACTGGTCCTGTTAGACCTCAGTGCTGCATTTGATACAGTTGATCACAATATTTAACTACAGAGGCTTGAATATGATATTGGGATTACAGGAACAGCTCTAAAATGGTTTAAATCATATCTATCTGATAGATTCCAGCTTATAAATGTAAATAATAAATCTTCTTCATACAACAAAGTTAGTCATGGAGTTCCTCAGGACTCAGTGCTTGGGCCAATACTCTTTACTTTATATATGCTTCCATTAGGTAAAATTATTAAACAGCATGGGAAAAATTTTCATTGTTATGCTGATGACACACAATTATATTTGTCCATTAAACTCAATGAATCCAATCAGCTACTTAGACCACAAGAATGTCTTAAAGACAAAAACCTGGATGACTCTTAATTTTCTCCTGTTGAACACAGACAAGACTGAGGTTTTGGTTTTTGGACCTGAGCACCTTAGGAATTAATTTTTCAGTCTTTCTCCTTCCTTAGATGGCATTAATCTGTTCTCCAGCTATAGTGTTAAAAATCTTGGTGTTATTTTTGATCAGGACATGTCTTTTATCCCCCACATTAAAATGTTACTAGAACCGTCTTCTTCCACCTGCGTAATATCACTAAAATTAGAAACATCTGATCTAAAAATGATGCAGAAAAACTGGTCCATGCATTTGTCACGTCTAGACTGGACTATTGCAATGGTTTATTATCTGGGTGTCCAAATTCTTCTTTAAAACGTCTTCAGTTGATCCAAAATGCTGCTGCCAGAGTCTTAACTGGAGTTAGTGGGAGAGATCATATTTCTCCAGTTTTAGCTTCTCTCCATTGGCTCCCTGTCAAATCCAGAATTGAATTCAAAATCTGACTTCTAACCTACAAAGCTCTCAACAACCTAGCTCCATCTTATATTACAGATCTTATTGTTCCATATTTTCCTAACAGAGCACTTCGCTCTCAGACTGCAGGTTTACTTGTGGTTCCTAGAATTTACAAAAACAGAATGGGAGGAAGATCTTTCAGTTATCAGGCTCCTCTCTTGTGGAACCAACTTCCAATCTCTGTCCGTGAGACTGACACATTATCCAGTTTTAAAACTAGGCTTAAGACTTTCCTTTTTGCTAAATCCTATAGTTAGGGTCGGCTTGGGTTTCCTGAGCTGTCCCTTAGTTATGCTGCTATAGGCTTAGACTGCTGGAGGACAAACTGACCACACTTTTCACTCTGCTACTGTCTTTACTTACTCTGCTCAACCTGTTTTGTATTTGTAATTATTGTTTCTATCCTTAACATGTGGGGTTTTTTGTCTTTCAGATACACCTGGACCTATACCTGGACCTAACATTCTGTGTTTATCTGTCATTCCTTCCTGTCCTCTCAAACCAGCCGGTCAAAGCAGATGGCCGCTTGTCCTGAGCCTGGTTCTGCTGGAGGTTTCTTCCTTTTAAAAGTGAGTTTTTCTTTCCACTGTTGCCACTGTGCTTGTTCAGGATGGGAGACTGCAACGAAGCCCAGATTAAACTTGTCTGCTGGATTCCTTAGAGAACTTCACTAATTGGCTTTTATGTATGTGAATGTTTCTGTAAAGTGCCCTGAGACAACTTTGTTGTGATTTGGCGCTATATACATAAACTGAATTGAATTGTTTATGTAGAATTTTATGTGACTTGTTATTTTTTTTAATTATGTTGTTTAAACTACAAGTAATTAAATTGACTAAATATCCATCCATCCATTATCTTTTACCCACTTCTTCCTTTTCGGGTCGCGGGGGTCACTGGTGCCCATGTCCAGCCATCACTGTGCGAGAGATGGGGGACACCCTGGACAAGTCCAACACAGGGCCACATCGAGACAAACAACCATTCACTCTCTCACTCACACCTACAGACCAATTTAGAGTTACCAATCAGCCTAACATGCAAGTTTCTGGTCTGTGGGAGGAAACCGGAGTACCTGGAGAAAACCCACACATGCACAGAGAAAACATGCAAACTCCATCCAGAAAGACCCCCGGCCGGGATTTGAACCAGGGTAACCTGCTCGCTGAGAGGTAGCAGCTCTACCAACTGTGCCACCGTGCTGCATCTGACTAAATATCTTTAGATGGTTACGAACTTTTTAAGTTTTAATGATCAGAAAACTCAGGTCATTGTGTTTAACCCTTGCTCTGCCGCTGTCTCTGATCCTGTAAACCTGCACTCCCTTCAGCCACATCTAAAGCAGTCTGTTACCAATCTCGGGATAGTTTTGGACTTGGACTTTAAGTTTAATAAGCAGATCAACTCCGTTCTTCAAAAAAGCTTCTTTCAGCTTAAGTCCGTGCTGACCAGAGCCGACCTTGAAAAATTAGTTCATGCATTCCCCGGCTGGACCACTGTATGTATCTCGCTTTATGTTGGGGTCAGTCAAGTGTCTCTTTCACGTCTCCAGCTCGTCCAAAATGCTGCACCTCGGATATTAGAACACGCAAGTTTGAGCACATTTCACCGGTTCTGTCCTCCCTTCACTGGCTCCCTGTTTGTGTTAGAATTGATTTTAAAATTCTCCTTATGACATTCAAGTGCATTAACAGCCTTGCACCCTCATACCTCTCTGATCTTCATCCTTATTCTCCTTCTCGGGCTTTGAGATCATCGAACCACCTGCTTTTGGTTGCACCCAAAACCAGGTTGAAGCTCAGAGGAGACCGAGCGTTTTCAGTCGTGGGCCTTAAATTCAGGAACAATCTGCCCATCAACATTAGACAAGATTGTCCCAAGGTGTTTCTTTATTATGAGAGTTTATTCAAATATATCCAATGGTTCATGAGATATTTTGCTAACCAACAGAAAAATGACCACACATGGGTGCACACACTCACCCCCAGGCCATCTGCAGTAAGAGACAATATTACTTTTTTTTCCATTTAGACATCTATGTTTAGTCAGATCAGTCAACACAACTAAGATTTGGTAAATCTATAAATTCATAGAGTGTATCCAAAAAGATCGAGTCAAGTCCTCTGGACGAATCGAGGACTTGACTCAACCTTGTTAGATTTGTCTACCTGGATTATTGAGGATTCATCAGGATATTTAGAGTGTAGACTTCAGAAGATCCAAAAAAGGGCAAGGTAGGAAAAGAAATTTGATAATATTGTAACAATGTTTTTGCAATAGGTCTGGGTTAGTTCAAGACCCGGTACATACCTGCCACAACCATCTAATTTCACAAGTGAACCAAGCTAAATACAGACGTTCAGTTTGGACTCGGGACATATTATGATCCGATCACTCAAGACCTGATGTGAATAGTGCAAAGACGTCAACAACCTAGCTCTACCTTATAGCTTCATATCTTTCTAACAGAGCACTTTGCTCTCAGACTATATATATATAATATAATACATACATACATACATACAAATATACATACATACATACATACATACACTGTATACACTTATTATTTTATATGAAGAAGTTGTGGAGAGTCAAGGTGTCAAAGGTCCCAGTGGTCATTGGATCACTTGAAACCATCACCTCCAAACTGGAAGAGTGGCTCCAACAGATCCCAGGAACAGCCTCAGAGATCTCTGTCCAGAAGAACTCAGTCCTAGGAACAGCTAAGATACTGAACAGAACCTCAAACTCTCAGTACCCTAGTGGAGGACCTGAGTCTGAAGTGAAGTGGAACCGCCCAAGTGGAAGAGAGGAATGAGCTAGTAGTTAATTTTTCTTTTCATTTATATATAAATGTATATACACACACACACTCCCAAACACATGCGCACACACACATACATACATGACGGTTATGAATCTCAGTCATCGTAAATAAATAAGTTCAAAACCAAAACAAGACTTCTATTCTGAAGCCGAAGACAATTTGCTTCCCATCCGAGAGACTTCATCAATTCAGAACTGACATTCTGGTCCTGTGGACCAGCAGGACTGGAACCAGTTTCTTCACTCGCAGATTAAACTTGTTGTTTCGCTTGAAGTTGGACGAGAATCATTTTTGAACCCGATAAAGACCTGATCAGTTTCATTAGGTTCTGAATCCCTGGAACTGCAACAGGGTGCACTTCTTTTCTATTTAAACTATTTATTTTAAAGTGTGGATCAGTACCATCCTTTAACCAACACCATATAATATGTTTTTCTTTTGCAGTTATTTCTTTGAAAAAATCTGCATTGAAGACACATTTTCATCAAAAAACTTCTTACAGACAGCTGCAGTGTGTCAGGAGTGATTCTGATGGTTGTTTGTGTTGTCATCTGCTCACACTCTGTTCTAATGCACAGCAGCATGTGGGTCACGGTGCGAGCCGGTGAATCAAACGCTTTGCAGCCTGTTAACCGGACCACATGACCGGTTTGGACCCACCTTGGTTGCAGTACAGGCCGCCCCAGCCCTCTTTGCAGTTGCACTGCCAGGGCAGCTGGCAGGTACCGTGGAGGCAGCCGGGGTGCCGGACGCACTCATCGCAGCGCTCGCCCTGCCAGCCCTGCTGACACTTGCACTTCCCGGGCGACTCGCAGAAGCCGCGCTGCTCGCTGCATCCTCCTGTACAGATGGCTGATGGGAGGAGGACCAAGAAGGAGAGGGAAAGGGCGAAAGGAGGAGAGTGTTACAAGGAGTACGTATGAGAGTGTCTCGGGTTCACAGAAACAGCTCCTTTCCCCTGTCAAGGCCTCAAACACACACACCACAAGTGCTTGTTAAGTGCTGAACGAAGCAGCTGGCACGCACAACAAAAGCAACACATGCCGTCTCCTTTCACGCAAGGAAGAACACATTAAGCTCCAGCGCGTGTCCCTGGTGGAGTAGCAGGCCGAGGGCTGGTCGGGGGCCAACCAGGGGCCCATTGTTGAGCCCAAAACAAAAGGAACAGACCTCACAGACAAACGCACTCTCAAGCACAGTTAAAAAAGTTTCCTCTGCAGCCACCTCGACCGACGACGGAGTTCACAACTGATTTTAGTGATTTTTGAGATAAGGGACAAAATGGGTTCAAATTTTCTCCAAAAATAATGTAATTATTCCTTAAGCTTAAGTATTCAAATATGACAAATAATGTTGTACAAATGTAAACATGTTAAAGCTCCCAGTTACAACGTTTTTTTTTGAAAATTACATTTTTACTGGACCTGAACTAGAACTTTGTCAACACCATCAGACAAAAACAAATTAATAAAAAATTATTTTTTATGAACCTATTACTGATATTTTTACTCTCTGTGATTTATTTCTTTTAATTATGTACATGTTTTTAAATTAATCATACCACCTTTTAAAGATGTATTTAGTCTGTGTATAATTACTCCTGTTCAGTTGATACAAAATGACCCATTCTGCATTTAAAATCACCACAACAGTGGAATTTAGAAGTGGGAAAACATTTGTACCAAACTGATAAATTCAGCAGTTTTACAGACAAATGTTTCTCAAGAAACAAAAATAATCAGAGTCAGAATACGCTTAATTATTATTGCACCGAGATACAACGAGAACATGTACATGCCGTCGTCTGGAAGATGGACAGAGTGCACGAAGCTGCTGCTATAACTAAGCGCAGCCTTTCTCATCCTTTTTCAGAATAATAATCTTAGAAAGAAAAAGGGGGAGAAACATGAGGGTAGATAGTGGTATTACAAAAAAAGATCTTTCACATCTTGTCTATCTATATTATTAAAAACAAAAAACTAGGGCTGCAACAACGAATCGATAAAAATTGATGATTAAAAGTGTTGGCAACAAATTTCATTATCGATTCGTTGTGTTGCGCGATTAAGCATCTTTCACGGTGCTGCGGAGCCGTTTTGTTTTGTTCACCTGCAGTTCATTGTCAATGCTGACAAACTGAATAAAGTTTGGAAAAAAAAATCTCTGCAGCGCGAGTTGAACAGAGCGAGGGGGGGAGGCGGAAGCAGAGCAGAGGCTGTTTTCAAAGGAAAATAAGTAAATTTTACAAATGAACGACGCCGCGAAAACTGTTCGACCCAAGTCCTCCAAAGTGTGGGAACACTTCACAAAGATAAAAACTGAAACATGCAGCTTTGAAAAGTGACGACATGAGAGAACCAAGGAGATAAACGTAAACATGTGGGAGTCACGAGGAGGAGGAAGGAGCTGAACAGCTGATACAACTCGTCATGTGTTGCAGGTGAGTCTCTACAATATTCACATTGTTCTGTTTCCAAGAGAGAAAACGTAACGTCAGTCTCTCTGTAGCTGAAGCTGTTTGTTTGTTTGTTTATCTGATTAATGATGATGATAGAGAACGTGTTACTTTTTATTTTATTTAATTGGTACAAGCAGTGTTTAAATGTGATTTATAAATAAATCTAACACAAAGAGAATAATTTAATGATTAAGCTCCAACTTTTAATTTCCTGGCAAAGTCTGAAGACATTGCAGGTATGGCAGGATGAATTGCATTTAAACAGGAATTAAAGTAATTTATTACACCTACTCAAATGTGTGCAATTGTTATATATACATATATATACATACATATGTGTGTGTGTGTGTGTGTGTTTAATTGCTCTTTTAGCTACTTTTGCCTGAACCTAACACTGTAAGTGAAACGAGGCATTTCTTGAGTAGCTGTAAATTATGATAAAATACATATTTACTCTCATTCCAAAAAACAACAACAAACAACAACACTTCATGATGGACAGACATCATGGACACCACAGCAGCAGTTGTCTTCACTGAAATCATCCTTAACATGATCTTCACTGACACAAGGCCTCTGTCGATGGTTGAAGACGAAGGCTCCACTACAATGATCCACACTTTTAATCCAGGTTACAATAATCCACACTTTTAATCCAGGTTACACTCTTCCCTCAAGGACATTTTACAAAGTAGCTACATATTGTGCAGGTATAAAGATACATTTGTATATATTTTTGTGTACATTTATTTTTTTAAGCTATTCGACTAACTTTTATTATTTATTATTCAATATTTTACTAACAGAATAGTCAAGTAGCAACCTGTTTTTAGTGCAAATTGCTATGTCAGTCAAATGTTCACTTTTGGAATAAAAGGGTGGAAATTAAACCTTTTTTTTTCAGATTCTTTGATTAATCGGGAAAAATTATCGGGCGATTAATCGATCATTGAAATAATTGTTAGTTGCAGCCCTACAAAAAAAAAAAAAAGATGAAGTCTATCTGATGGAGTCGACTGCACATGACGGAGGTGACAGAACTGAGTGTGCTGTCCTGATGCATGCTCAATAATCCAGGTTTTGTTGGTTTTTTTTGAACGTCCAGAGGACCTGACTAAACCGTTTGTTTTTTTACTTGTGTTGTCTCTCTTTGCCATCTTGTAAATTTTGTCTTTTAGTGCCAACTCTTTCTACATCTTCTCCTTTCCTATAAACTCTTCCTTCAGCTCAGGCTGGCTATTCAAGTTTCCTCTCCTTTTCTGATACTCTCTGTTCCTGCTCCTCCGCTCATAACTTTTCTCTGGCCATTCTAGCCTGAAATACATTCCATTCTGTAACCAGTACACCGTTTGTCATGGGATAACCATACACCTCCCTCAAGATTTAAACCACATCTTATTAATATTGAAGGACAAATAAAACTATACAACAAGTTGCTGAAAATAAACAGAAAAATATTTAAAAATAAATATGCTGCATGTGAAGTAATGCCATTAATGTAAAATAAATTAAAATGAGTCAATTGCACTTAAGTGAGACTTGTCAACCCGACCGTGTTGACTCTAGACAGTTGACAGAATGCCATATGATGTTAGAAGGAGGCCATTTTGTAGATCATCAGTTCCTCAAAATCTTAACAATATACCAAAATTAAGCATTCATTTAACAAAACTGAATCAAAATTTTGTAAATTATTAGTTATGGTGTTGACATAATGTGGTTGTGATGTACAACTTAGGAAAATAAAAGAAGAAAAACTAAATAGCATAAGCTTACCAGAGCTAGCTAGCCCTCCTAGCAAAAGGAAGTGGTCAAGGGGTCCTCAGAGTTTTTGATGCCCCCCAATAATGCCTGATTTTTTTTAAAACAATATTTTTATGTCTGACAGTGTTGACAAAAACTCAGCACACAATTTCAATAGAGTTGGAAAATACATAAAAATGATTTTTAAATTGCATTTATTGATAATTGTGAAAATATCTATTTGAATACTTACATTTAGTAGTTATGAAAGATTATTTTCGAATTCTTTTAATTGGTTTTGAATAATAATGTATTGAGTTCTGCTGCAGGACAAGGGCTTTTACAGGCACCGTTCACATACTACATAATTTAAAATCTAAAATGTTCATGAAACACCATGAAAGCATGCTGACATTGCCCAGGTTAGTTTCTTTAGTTATTTGAAGAAATTACATTTTGTGTATATTTTATTCAAATTCTATACTTTATCCAGCAGACACCTTCTGTCCCTCATTTCAAGAATGACTGACTTGACAATTTCACAAAAAAATGAAGAAGCTGTTTCCTGAACAGAACCCCACCCCAACTTATTGAAGAACCGTCAGAATAAAAACAGAGGTAACAGCTGTAAACAAGAACCAACTCCCACTAACACTTTCAGATCATTTCACACCCCGTCTGAAGGTTTTTCTGAAATGACTTTAATCAGGAGGGAATCTCCAGTGGAGGTGTGATTGGGGGGGGGGGACTCACGGTCTGAGCAGTACTCGCCACTCCAGCCCTCCAAGCAGAGGCGGTTCCCCTCGCGGTCGCAGTCGTAGTGACCAAAGGTGTCGTTTCGGGGCCGACAGTAGGCCGAGCAGGCCGAGCCGCGGTAGAACTCGTCACACACCACGTGGTAGGAGAACCGCAGCTCGCTCTGATTGCTGAAGTCCTTGTCTTGAGACCACTCCTGGCCCGCGATGAGTTTGCTGCGAGTCACCGTCCTGCTGATCAGGTTGTTCTGGTTCTCTGTAGCAACAAAAAGATGGGTTCACGCTGGTCAGATCCTGAAAACATTCAGCTCGTTTACCTTTTCTTAATTTGCAAACCACGGTTTTACAAAAACTGCTTTAGAACTAATTTAAGGTTTTCATTCATGACAGGAGAGCCTTTCCTTTTCAAAGTAAAAGTTTACAAGACGGTGGTGAGACCAGCTATGTCGTATGGTCTGGAGACAGAAACGTGGACAAAAAGACATGATAAGAACTGGAAGTGGCAGAAATGAAGATGTTGAGGTTCTCCTTAGGGGGGACAAGGATGGAGAAGATTAGGAATGAGATCATCAGAGGTACAGCACAGGTTGAACAACTGGGAGATAAAGCTAGAGAGACCAGACTGAGATGGTTTGGACATGTCCAGAGGAGGGACAGTGGGTATACTGGTAGAAGGATGTTAGAAATGCAGCTGACAGGAAAAAGACAAAGAGGAGATATATGGATGCAGTTAGAGAGGACATGGAGGTAGTTGGAGTGAGGACAGAGTGAGATGGAGGAAGATGACTCGCTGTGGAGACCCTGAAGAGGGAACAGCCAAAAGAAGAAGATTAATAACAGGAGCGCAAGAAAGATTTACTTAATTCAAAGTTACAAACCGATGACACTTCTCGTCTTTAGAAAACAAATAATGATGGTTTGGTCTGGAGGGAGACAACAAAACCTGGAAGGCTGTGACACTTTTAACTGATGGATCAGAAGGATTGAACCGGACTTTGTTCACTTTGAAGCACAGATTTCAGCAGGTCTAGTCTGGACGTAAGGTTGTCCTCCTCAGGGTTGTACAGTTATAACAAGGGACAACAAGCTGGTGTCCACAGAACTCGTGTCCTCTGTCTCTTTGATTGAAACCAGTTGCTGTCCACATGACCCATATCCTCTGTCTCTGTCCATCTGAGCCCATCTGGTGTCTACAGAACTTTTGTTCTGTTTCTTCAGAATAAACCAAAATGTGTTCTAAGAACTAACGCCTCTTGTCCCGGTTTATCTGAGACAAGTTGTTGTCCACAGAAGTTGTGTTTTCAGCCTTAAGATTAGATGGTGTCCATAGAAGTTGTGCACTGCACACAGTCCGTCTCTCTGAGACACTCTGAAGTCCATGCAAGTCATGGTCACATTTCTGTGTTGATGGAGACGGTTTACCAAGTTCTCCTGAGCCCACGTGGGGACACTGATCTCTGGGACACGATAGTTTCTGATAAGGAGTCAAAAGTCATTAAGAGATTTTATCAGAATTTGGATCTGTAGTAAGTGAAAAGGTTCCATTGATGTTTTAACTGAACCTCTGAGGAGTTGTGTTCAACTTTTTCCATAATTTATTGGAACAACTCATCGTTTGAAATTGTATTTCTTCGGCAGCTCATCTGATTGGAGAAGTCATTGCCGATTCTTGGATTTTTGTCTTCTTTAAACTTTTGTTTCTGTACTTTCCTTAAACCTTCAAGTGTCGCTGCATCAACGTTCTAATTTTATTTTAGATTTTCAAATAAGGTAAAGCTGGTTCTTGAAGAAACTGAAAATATTCTGTTCTTGTGTTTTTCAGACCAAACTTCCATCCATCATCTTTTACCCGCAGCTTCCTTTTCAGGTCACCAGGGTCACTGGTGCCCATGTCCAGCTATCACTGTGCAAGAGGCGGGGGACACCATGGACAGGTCTCCAGTCCATCACATGGACACACAGAGACAAACGAGACAAACAACCATTCACTCCCTCACTTAGGGACAATTTAGAGTTACCAATCAGCCTAACATGCATGTTTTTGGTCTGTGGGAGAAAACCCATGCATGTACGGAGAGAACATGCAAACTCCACGCAGAAAGCCCTCCGGCCAGGATTTGGTCCGGTGACCTTCTTGCTGAGAGGCGGCAGGTCTACCAACTGAGCCACCGTGCTGCACCAAACTTCCAGTTATTTTAAAAAAAAAATTTTTAAACAGATTACCTGCATTTTCTTTGACATCTTACATTTGTTAAGTTCAGTTCTTTTATGGGAGGAAATATCAAAAAGTGCTTATTTTAAAAAAGTTTGAGGATTTTAGTTAATAGGTCGTTTTCAAATGCAAAGTACAACTTACAGATAACTCTCAGCTACTACCACAACAAGTTTTAGCTTGATTTCTGTCAAAGTGATTGATGTATAGCATGCTGTGTTAGTTAAGTTGATTAGCTGTGGAAACCATCTTGAATTGTGTTGATTCCAAAACTTGATCAGCTGTAGACGCATATCCATTGATTAGTTTCTTAAAGCTTCATCAAAGTTCCTGTTTTGTAGTATTTTATAATGTAGCCGTTTTACTTTAAATATCATTTTTCATTTATTTTTCAATTCATATGTTGTTGTTTTTTATTGTCTACTGTTGTCATCATTCTTTATTAAAACAGGTCTCTCTTGTAAACGAGTCCTCGAGGCTCATCAAGACTAAATGAAGGGTGAATTGAAAAAAGTCTGTTAGTGGTTCAAAATATTTTGCTAACAGACAAACAGGGTTGATGCCAACAATTTAAAGCAACGACGTGTAACGCTCAGACTACGTGCTGTGAATTTGTCACAGGTACGACCGGCTAACCAGACTTGAGCTCATGTTCTGTCAAACTGACAGAATTCTGTGAATGTTGGTGCTTTTTTAATCTGTTGAATGTGGCGGCCATCTTGGAAGTGCAGATGAGAGATGAACAGACTCAGTTCCCTCCAGCCCTGTCCAGTTGTTGGTGGGACACTTTATCAGTCACATTATTAGCCTTTGGTCTGGTGGTGGTGGTTGGGGGGGTGTAAAGATCCTGCAGAACTGAAACCAAAGTTTAGTCTTTGCTGCTGGGATGAAAGTGAGCTAATGTGCTGCTGAAGTGTCTGGTTCTGGAGCAGCGCATCAGAGAGTGATTAAAAACTACCCAGGTGGTCTCTCCTGCAGGACTTTACATGTCCAGATGCAGCAGAAGGGCCTGGACTCTGAGATCTTCACACCTTATCCATACTGGCCTCTGGTCAATGGTTCAGATCTCTAAAGAGTTGCACAGCCAGACAGGAATCTGAACCAGACCCTGTCCCCACTCAAGTCAGGGTCCCAACAGGCTGAATGTCAGAGCCAGATGTTATACCAGAAGCCACATCTGCGTTATCCACCTTATTCCTAGCCCTCAGGCTGCCTTGCAGGGCGCGACTTCCGACGCGGACCAGAACTGGCGTTTACGTGCGAACAGTACGAACTAATGTAGTTTCTCTAAGCATGGCCTGAGAGCACACGTCGTCAGTGCAGCTACAGCGTGCGCTCTCAGACCATCATTAGCTGCAGCGTCCCCTCAGTGCGGACTGAACATCGCAAAAAGGCCTTTTCTTACTCTGCTCCTGCACCTGGAACAGGAACTGATGTTGTCCTTAATTTATTTAAGAGATTTTAAACATTTGATAAGGTCAATAGAAACATCAAAGCAAATATGTTCTGGTTTTTAGTATTTTATCTTGTTTTACAGCACCCTGATTTATTGTTGTATAACGCTACTTTTATTTTAACTGCATCTTTATTGTAGTTTATTGTTATTATTATTGTTGTCTGGACTTTGTATATTCTGTCTAAAACAGGTCTCTTCTGTAAATGATTCCTTGTGGCTCAATGAGACTAACCTGCATAAATAAAGGTTGAATGAATGAATTGTGGATTTCATTTAATCATGTAGGAACACCACCTGTCAGAGCTCAGACAGGACAATATGATCATACCGCTGCCTGCTGAGGACGAGCTGAAGAAGTGGCTGCAGATTAAATCTACTAGCATATTTAGCTACTTCACTGACTCAGTTCTTCCAACGGTGAAGCGATGAACAACCTGAGGTAAATTAGTATCTACACAGTAATAAGGTTGGTTGTGTTTTGTTAAAAGGATGTGGGACACAATCTTAGTTAAAGCAGACATAGAGCCCAGTCCTCCATCACAGAGCTTGGGTTAATTGCAGAGAAAATTGAAATACTATAATGCTGTGGCCTTCGACGGAAACTAAACCGCTTTTCACGGGAACACTCGTTTTGCTTTGAGTCCGTGTTCAAAACTCTGTTGTAGCCACTGATTTAATTTAGTCTGGTTGTTCTGCAGCCGTGAACACGACAGGTACCTGAACTCAGCACGGCTATTTTAGTCAACTTTACGGTTGTTAAATAAATGTAAATAAAACAAAAAAAGCATTTTATCTGCTAAACTGAATGTAAATTACTTTGAAATAAACAGCAGTCCGTGCTCCACTACCATGGTGAGTCAATGCTCACAGCTACTTCTGGTGTGTGACAAGAAGTTACACCTGTAGCCATTCATCCAGCAGAGCCGGCAGGAATAAGGTGGATCAGGATTGCTTGTATTCTGGAGAAATGAATGGGTTTGTGTGTACTGGGTTGAATGGGCGGATGGGGAGAGGTATGAACATCCAAACACAAGACGCATGTTCAAATGAGACTTTGGTTAGTTTGCTGTGAGCTCAGCCTGAGCACGTGCTCTGTCGCCACCTGGCGGGCAAACCTGTACTGCAGCGACTTACCTGTGGACTCGGCACCTGAAGACTCCGCTGTCCAGGCTTCAATGATCAGAGAGAAAGTTCCCTGAAACGAACCAGGACAGAGTTAGAAGTGACCACGCCAGGAGGGGAATCACTAATGCGTGCACGCGCCACTGACGTGTGGAGATCAGGTTGACTATTTTTAAATCATCAGAGGTTAAAACCATGACAGAATGTGGTCCAGTTTCTAGAAGGTTCTGGTCCAGTGGGTCCGGTTCTTTACTTACTGGCCACTTGAAAGAGAAAGGCACGCGGATGGGCGCGCTCTCGGAGATGGTCTTGGGGTGCGCTGTGATGATCTCGGTGACGCCGGTTCCGTACGTGCACTGGGGCTCCAGCTTAATCACGTTCTGAGTGTGCGTGAGACACACGCGGAAAAAGATCCGGCAGTCCGGGTCCTGGTCTGGGTCCTGGTCCGGGTTCTGGAAGCTGCAGATGGAGCGCGAGCTGCTGAAGGAGTTGATCTTCAGCTCGAAGACCCCAGAGAGGAGAGCCTGGGGGGACAAACAAACAAACAAACAAACAAATAAATAAATTCGTGCCAATCGATCCAAACATCTTCCAGTGAAACTCCTGATTTCTTCTTTCTTTTTTGTCTGACTCAGCAGGTTTCATCTCTGAAGGTCCAGAAAATCAAACAAATTCAAAGTTCTGGAAAGTTTCGTGCGCTGCGCGTAAAAAGCGCACGGTTCCAAACAGAACCATCCGAACCGCTAAGCTCCGCGGTTACAGCCTAACTGAGGTTCTGCAAAGGTTCTGCTCACCTTTGGAACTGAAACAAGCAGGAGGAGACACGGAACCAACCAACGCGCCATGTCCGAACCTCGATCCAATCCCGATAATCTCTGCGTAAAATCCAATCTGAACCCAGCGGGGGGGAAAGTTCTGTTTTCACCTGAACTGCTAAAACCAGTCCGAGTTCTGCTAGAGAGACTGAACTCTGGACTGCAGCAGCTGCGGTGACACCTCTGCTTTATACCGCCGGAGGGGTGGGGGTGGGGGGCTCCACCTGAAGGAGGAGTCAAGGGAGGACCGGATCAGGACTGGATCAGGACTGGTTCCTGAAAGCCTTCAGGATTTAAGGCGGGACGAGAACTTCTCATCAGGCCTGAGGGGGTTGTTGTTGTTGTTGTTTATTTATTTACAATCAGTTCAACTAAGTTTATTTACACAGCACCAAGTCACAACAGAAATCCTCTCACTGAACAGAAACATTCATTTATGGTATAGTATAAAGTTTATTCATTTTAAAAAACAAAACAATTCCATAAACTATAAAAAATACAAGAGATTTAAAATGAAAGGCAGCAGAAAGAAGAAAAAATCTTATTATATCTGCTCCTTTTTTCAAACTATTTGTTCAATGATAATAATCTTCAAGTAACAGAACAAAACGAATAACTCTTTCTAATTTTTCTAACTCTAATGCAATACACACTAAGCTACTTCTTCTTTTTTTTTACAATTCAGCTTTGATCTTTTCTTAAATGTACACAATGACTGGATTATATATACATAAAAAAGTAAGTTAATAAAATTATTTATCTGAGGAGAATCAGCTGTTTGTTTTCCACACAAAGAGGTCCATCTTCGTTCAGATCTGACCCAAATGTTTCCGGACTGAAGGAACAGAAGATATTTCTTACAGCGAGGAGCCAGAGTTCCCCACGTGGGGATGGCGGCCCCCCACCCCCGACAATCACCCCCTCCTTTTCTCTCTCCGCAAAGATAAAACAGTCATGACAATAAGAAAAGGCAGACCTTCATCGCAATTATGATAAATTAAAATTTATACGAAATTAAATTGAAAGATTAACAGATTAAATATTATTACAAAAAAAAATAATCTGAAAGTTGTTGGTAGTTTTGGAAAGCCATCTAATGCGATTATACAGCACTCTCACGTTGCTCAGTCAGTGACGTCACCAGCAGTAGGTGTGACCTTAAATCACAAACAACTAATCAGAAGGACCCAGGATCATGACATAATCTCCTGAAGTATGTGGCTGTGACATAAAATGAAACACGTGCTCTTTCTAAAATAACCTGGAATTTATCCAGTTAATCTGAATCAGATTTTATTTACACCTTACATTTTATTTAATACACCTGTCACTGCTTTGTTTACACCAGTCACTGCTTTGTTTACAT